ATTTAACTTTATTCACAGTCCTAAACATTTTTTTCAGATTAATGTTGATTAGTTATCTGACTTACGAAATGCTGTACTCTTAAACCTTGCTATTGTACTAGGTGGTTTTCATTCAGTGGTTACCCGGCGGGTGTACTTCCTTATATGGCCAATACGGGAATGTGCCTCTAGATAGGTAAGTACCGCCTGATAGGGTATGGTTTTTGAGGATCTCGAGCCTTTAATAGGGTATCATTTTTTACGTTGTTGGCCTTGTGTCTTTGGTTTGATCCTTAGATAGGGTAACTCAAGTAGTAATGGATGGTTTATTCCATCCTTTCCATTTTGTGGAAAAACAGTAATCCAGAACACGCTCGAAAGAGTTGTATATACGCAGGGAAGTATAATTTTTTACTATCCCGGCCCCATGGTATTTGCTTTAGAGGACTCCGTATAGAAAATAATTGTTTTAAGATAGAATGAGTACTCCTTTTGATCCTATATGGGACCAAATCAAGTGAGAATAATGGGCCAAATGCCCAGCCGGCTCAGTGTAAGACCCCAAGTGAGTGTTATAAAAACAGGTACATAAGAAGGTATTGGCCAGCGACTAATTGGATTTTGTTTTTAGGTTTCTGTTGTGGTTCGACGGTTTGCCACTGGTGACATTTTTTTTTTATTTGCAGTAAAAATTTTGAATCTTTCCAGGCCTCGTTTGATTAAGTTGGCCAAAATATGGAAGCCACTATTACTTCTTTAAGATTGCGCGTTAGACAAGGACGGTGCACAACGTGTTGCATCGACCTGTTATAAGATCTAACAAGGAAAGCTTGAACTCTCGTGGTGTCCTTATTCGAATGATGTAGGATGGATGTTACGATTTGCGGAAATTAAATGCTTTTTAATAATGGTTCGTTTGTGTCTAGTGTGTCTAGCTCTGTCGAGATCCTGTACTCTGACAATGCTCTGTCTAGCCCATCCATATATGGGATTATCCCCCCCCCCCCCAAGACTTCACGTGTCACGTGGCAAGCAAACATGGATTTGGACGACGAATGCCAGGTTATTCATGAATTTTCTGTTGTTAAATGTTGCTTTTGTTATTTAAATATTCTTGATTTTAAACATGATTCATATCTTTTTGGTTATGTGTCACAGGAAGTTTCATGTCTTTCATAAAAGCTTTTCTAGTTGGTCACGTGATTAATCAAGGCATAAAAATTTATAGCGGTAGACATGCATGTTTGACCAAAGAAAATGTTACGGAGATGTTACGTGCTAGCAGACGTCACCATCTTTGTTTATGAAGTAGCATATTTTGACATTATATTAATGTTGACGAAGTAAGTTGAATCACTCTCAAAAAATTATTACAAAGTGCGATGGAATTATTACAAATTGCGACAGCTTAGTTTATTGCAAAGTGCGATGGACTGTTATTACAAATTGCGACAGCTTTTTTATTACAAAGTGCGACACGGTTTATTACAAATTGCGACAGGTATTACAAAGTGCGATGGATTTATTACAAATTGCGACAGGTATTACAAAGTGCGATGATTATTACAAATTGCGACAGTACAACCACCCCTGGATCTCTAAGGATGTTGGTAGGAAACCTTTAATCGGGAAAGTAATAATTGAAGTGGCAACAGAACAAAATATAACTGAAATCTATAGCACCTATTGAAAACTGTCTGGTTGCCTCGAGAATCCTGCGGGCTTTTTCCTTTATGTCCTGTGGGTAGCTTTGTTCTTCGAGGAAACTTGGACATAGAAGACATGCCAGAAACTTGACGAAAAATACAAAAAAAAAACGTCAATCAATCACACAAGAACTTCATGAATAGGACCTAACGTTGTTATAAGTCCTTAACGGAAACACACGGGGTGTTCGTCGCACCGTAAACTGACTTTCTTTTGCGGCACTTGTAAGGGTAGCCCTGAGCCAAAAACAACGGCAGTTATTTGTCAGTCCGTGAAATCCTCCTGGCAGTTCTTCATGACCAGCTTGCATTGACGAAATGTGAAGATGCTTGTCGGTATCTATACGATTGACGTCAGTCGTATTGATATCGACAGAAAAAGAGATACACAGTGGTCATGCAAATAAGCTTCGCGGTGGCTCAGCCGCTGTTTTTGGACGAGGAGCAAAGCCGTAGAAAATGGGTGTTGCATGGGGGCAGATTTAATGTTATGTGAAGAAGATACCAGTAGTCGAACAACTCCCTCAAAAAATTAATAAATAAATGAAATATAGGCATGTTTTGGGGTTGATCAGGAGTTGAGGATACTTTCAATGAATAATAAAGCATTATTTGAATGGACTTTTTCTTCATCAGATACCCGATAGTTTTTCATGTTCACATGCAAAGTTATCCGGTAAAGCTAGTATAAACTCCTGTTCACACTGGGCCAAAAAAGTGGCAGAGAATCCTACTGTCCGATATGTGACAATCCACTTTCAAGATCGGCGCGACGCAGCTCCGCTCTGTTACGGAAACCGCCCCGAAATCACCCGGCGTTCTCAATGTAGAACAAAAGCCTTTTATCCGATATGGTTTGCGTGCCTGGGAATGAGCTATCAAATAAGGTGTAGACACAGTCTCAGCCTCCGTCATCCAGTTATTGCTAAGTATATACAGTTGTATTAAACTTAGTAGTAGTTACTTCGTAGTTTTAGGCCCCATTTATATCGAGAAAACTTCTTTCGGGTAGACGGCTCATTTGCCAACCCGAGCTAACCTGGGCGAGCCAACTTTTCATACATTAATCTTTACAAAACTTGGCGGAACCGTTGACATGAGACCTTTTTTCGATTGATGTAGGGCCACCCTACTAGTTGGGACAACGTTTCTTTATATAAGTACTTTCGGTCTCCAAGCCGGGTCTAATCGAACAAGACGCGATAATCAGATCGAGCATGCTAGTGCTCTGTTGGCTCGGACAAAGGCATAAACTTTAATTTTTTCTCATACGAACCTCTTCGCTGCAAAATAGGGTGATCCCGGGGGGAGACTATGATATGAAAGGGGCAGGGATGTTCGGCGGAAATTTTGAATTAAACCCCTCGGAGGAGACCAATCTTTGCTTGGCCCAACCGTTTTTTTCCCAATAGAGACCATTTTAAATATTGATTACATGAATCGCGTAAATAAAACGAATTGTAAATATATAATTTTTTTTTGTATTTCTTTGCGGGCAACCCTAAAGGACTTCTTTAAAGCTAAATATAATGACGTTTTGTACAGAACACCCTAAGTGAGACCAAAATCCGAAATTTACACCCCTAAGCAAGACGACAAGTATCCCCGCTCCTTTCATATGGGATCCCTCCCCCCCTCGGGGGGGGGTCACCCTCTTTCCCGAGACAACTTTTCTACATATAAATGGGGCTTAAGAGGTGGTCGGTACCCACTAGGGATGATAATTCATTTGGAGCAAACGAAAAGGAATAAGGTTTATTGTCATTTCCGTCGATAAGTCAGTTGCTCATGTATCATCAGGTTCCTGAACGAGGAGGAAACAAAGTTTTTATAAGGTCTTTCGTATAATAAAAAACATAGCCTGTGACACAATAAATTTTTTTGATACGCAAGTCTTACTCCTTGGCCGTGCGTATCATTATAGCGTCTGCACATTTTAATAATTTTTAATGCCAGCTATTAATATAGAAAATGGTTAAAAATATAAATGTGCGGAGAAAACAGAGATCTTTTAAGCTTCGAAGAAACAATCCTACCTGTCTCAGAGAGGATATTGGTCGCTGTCCAAACGCTTGAGGGTCTCCAAAATGTTTTATAACTTCATTAAAAGGTTTACTTACACCCTAAAAACCAATGTTGGGACTGAATTAGCTCGTTTATTAGTCTGCTGACATGCAGCAGTCGTTTCCTTTCTAAACATTTCAGCTTTTGTTCAAGTATTAGGAAAACCCATCTTTTGTGTATCCTTTTGTGACTTGTTGTATTAAATTCATCCTTTAATTAAGGCTTTTTTGCATACAACTTTTTTCCCCCAGGGCGAGAAAACAGTCACTGTCATGCAAAAAAGGCTAGAAAAAGAATGCACACTAAAACACTCTAAAATGCACAAAGCTAAGTCTCTTTCAATCATTTTGTTGAGCAAAATTTGAAATTTATCCTTATATCTCTTTTCGCAAAACTTACCGGCTTCTCGTATTTTCAACGCTTGCAAGGGGACGCGATAAGGGTTCGCTCAAAGAACACGTTCCGCGTCACCTATTGCGCCTTGGCTTTTATACGGCATGAGTTTGGGCCGTTAGGATATTTTGAGTACTAACAAATGATTTATAATATGTCAGCTGTCTTATCAACGACGCACTGACCTGTCTAAGTTCTCGTCGAATCTGATCGGCTCGAACATCGATCCATCCTCTTGCATTGGTGGCTTCCCGAAACACGCGACTGATGGTTTTGTTTGTGATTATTTCCTCCACCTCCATTTTGGTAAAACAATCAACGGAAACGACATTAACAAGAGGAATGGGCAAAGATATCCTTGTAGGTGTTCTTTAGAAGACTTCTACCCTAGCGATCGTGGAGGAGTCGCAGTAAGCCGTGGAATTCATGGTAAAACAAAGTCAGTCACGGATGAAAGAAGCAGAATAAAGGCTAATGAGAAGAGATCGATAGACAATCAAGGAGAAGGTGACAGTTGTATTGTTCACAGCTATTCATTAATTTCTTAGCATTGCTACTCATGATTATTTCCTAGACTACGAGTAGTCCCTCTTGTTCCTCGAAGATAGTTGAGCGAGGGAATTGAAATCGCCCGAATTGAAATACACG